GGCGGAAAACGGCGGCGGTTGCGCCGCGGCCGAGGGAGCGCGAGGGGTCAAAATGGAGGGTGGCGGAGCTGAGGGAGCTGAACGAGAAGCGGAGGAGGGTGGGCGAAGAGGAAGGAGAAGAGAATAAAGGGAGTGTTGCAGAGCGGCTGCGGCGGGAACGGCGGGAGATGTGGAAGAAGAGGAAGAGGACGAGGATGAGGAGAAGGAGAGCGGACGGGACGGCAGCGGCGGCTGAGAGGAGGAGGAGAATGGTATGACGGTGTTTGCCGCCTCCGCCGGCGGCGGGGGCGGCGGGGGAAAATTAACTTTCTTACTTATAGTTTATTTAAAAGTAAACCTTATAGTTGATAAATGGAGACCTTTAAATCTCTAGCATGGAGGTTTATTTGTGATAAAAATGAAAAACATATAATGTATTACCTTAATCAGAGTACAATATTCATTAATTATATCAATTAATAGAAACACAATAACTACCATTAGTTATATATAGATCCCTCGGAAGATGCCGAGACATTAAATGATTCCATGATTGGGTTTAAGCTGTAATAAATGCAAAAAAAAAAAAAAAAAAAAAAAAAGGTAAAAAAAAAAAAAAAAAAAAATTTAAAGCAAAAGAGCCCCTTGGTTTATTTAGTATGGAGGAAAAGAGGTGGTGCGAAGCATTGCATTAAATTTCTACTTATGATTGGATTTTTGTTAGGGACATTTTACGTACATTCCACTCAATTCTATGTATTTATATACATCGAAAACCTCTAACTTTATATATCTAAAACCTTATTCTATTCAATTCATTATTTTCAGCTTATGTTATAATATTTAAAACATTTTAATAGCATAAATAATATTCCATGAGTGATATATATATTTATTTATTTTGGTGATTGAATGTGATTAGTTAGAGAGGTAGAAGTTTTTGAAATTAAAGAAATATGAAAGTCAATAAAAGTGCATGGATCAAAGGAAAAGAGGAAAAAAGTATGAAGATTACAGGACAGGGGTGGATCCCAATAAAGACAGTGCTTGTCTGCCTTTTTTATTTTTTTTAATAAATTAATTTTATATATATATATATATATGTTAAAATTTGACATGATATTTATAGATTGAATTCTCAAGTTTAATTTCTTAATCTATGATAAAAAATTACATAAAGAAAATTTATAAAATATTGAAGGCAATATTGAATTTGGAAAATATTTACTTTCAAATACTTTTGTGTTAGTAAATTTATAATTTTCATATGTTATAACAATAAATATTCAGAATAATTTTGAAAATATTTATGACATATTGCGTCTTCTGAATAACATTTTTTTTTTTGTGTTTTGCACAGACGGGTCAGAGAGTGTTCCACCCTCGTGTGTCTAATTAAGAACCGCTTCATTACCGGCAAATTGGCTATTCCACCCTCATGTGATTCGAACTCGTGACCTGAGAGGACTTACAACCTTCAAAGAGGCTTGCGACACTACTCCTTGGTATAGCATCTAATATCACATATCATAATTTAAAACATGGGCATTTACATACATAGCACAAATTTAATATATTTGCACATCTAACATACCTAAACAGCTAAAGTTCTATACATTCATCATTAATAATTTATTAAAAAGTAAAATATATATTTATTATGACACTAATTTCAAACTTTAGGCATTGGAATGTCAACATATAAGAATTTTGTGCTACACATGTAAATTTTCATTAAAAAAAAATCATAATATAAAATGCATTAAAACACCAAACAAATTAAAATGTAAGAACAACATTATTTTGGTTCATAAGAACAATAAAAATTTAAATTTTACAAAAAATTTCAGTTAGTTCTAAGAAGAGTTCTTCAGTATCCACTCTACTAAAGTGGAGACTCCAAAGCCTGTCGATGTGCGCTTCTTCTCATTCCAAACAGGACCAGCCATGTCTATATGCAACCACTGCACTTTCTCATCCACAAACTGCAGATTATAACAATATCCATTTACTATCTAATCTGTAAAATATATATTTGAAAGGTTTACCATTCAATTCCAGCGTATTTACATATTTAACACTAAAACATCACTTTTTACACACAAGGACTGCAATAAAAGGTGTATTTCATTTTTTACACGTCGAAATAATGATTTTTTTTTATTTGATATGAAAGATTTGAGTGATATAAATATAAAAAAATTTAATTCGAGTTGATAGTTCGATTCGGACTTAATTCAAATATGTGCGGCCTGAATTCAACCCATCTAACCCATTATTGAGGAAAATAAATATATTATTGATACATTCAAAATAATTACATATTTACAAGATACCGTCTTAATTCAGATTTCAAAGCTATATCACATCTCAAGTCTGATTCCGAAAGATAGAACTGATTATGAACAATTTTAGTAAAATTTTGTTTTGATTCTGCGAATCATGTAATTTTTTTTGAAACAAGACAACCCAATTGACCCAAATATGATCATTTTAACCCAATTAACTAATCATCCTAACACAAATCTAAATAGTAATTAGTTCAATTTCTAGATAATTGAATCAACACAAAAACAATAATCGAGTTTAATTTAGACCCGAACCTGACTTAGTTAATAATCAGGTCGACTCTAACTCAATTCTGCAGTCGGGTTTGGGTTGGGTCATTTATTGAACCTACTAGAATTTGCATGTATTCATATTATGTATTATATTACTTGCATTTGAAAACCCTAACCTTGAACCTTCTTAAATCACAATCTATCTACCACTACTCTATCAATTTGATGGCCCCCTTGCTCTCAAACCATCAATAATAAAGCAACACCACAAACACCAAACAAAAAAAGAAATTGTCAATCTCACTACGAGTTAAGCTTATTGCTCACGATCACAACTATATAAATTGGGTTTATGAATCCTCATTTTTCAATCACGCCTATTAAACGCAGATTAAGCCGTTAAATTTGTTCTTTACAAATTATTTTTAAAAAATTTACATTCATGTTATTATAGACACTCTTTTTTCATAATCCCTTGACATGAATTTTATCGACGAATTTTATCAACTTGTTTAATAGAAGCATTTTATACCATTTATTATGTGTTCAAATCACTTAAATCTATTTTCATTAATCTTATTTTCAATAAAGGACTCATCGAACTACCTCTCAATCTATCATTCCTAATTTTGCAAACATCCAACTTAATATTCTCCTCTATGACATGCTCAACTTAACTATCAATGACATCTAGCAAATTATAGTTTAATTAAATTTGTCTTAAATCTCCATAATATTTGTTAATTGCATAAGACCTTTAGCATTTAACAATAATCTTAAAATTGCACCATATCAGCCCATAGATTCTAATGAACTCCTCATTCTCTTAGTGCCTAGATCATATTACTTGAAATTGGTTATAGAGAGCTCCACCAACACCCAAAACATTAGCTTTTCCAAATCATCTCTCTCAACACATTTCTAATTATCCCTTAAAAAACTCTCCATTATTGAAATTAAAATCTATTCTAAAGTTGGAACTTCTTTGAAGTTAGATATTTTACACCAAAATCTAACTGATTTAGTTAATAACTCAGTTCTAATGAAGCTCCATTAATGACTAGTTCAAGGGAGCTTCATTAGCCCTTATTCTGCACCCAAAAATGAAGTTTATGGCATGCATAATAAATACACACCTGCTTTAAAAATAGTGCTGCAGTTATGGCACCACCCGCACGACCTCCAGTATTCAGCATATCGGCCACACTTGATTTCATCGACTCCCAATAGCTGTCTTCCAAGGGCATTCGCCAAAGTTTCTCTCCCGCAACCTCGGAAGCCGAAACAATCTCCTCTGCGAGTTTGTCACTCGGTGTGAAGAATCCTGTGGAAGGGTAAATTAATTTGTTATTGCTATGAAATTAAAGCAATGTGCGGTGAAAGAATGAAAGAAAAAAGAGAAAAGTGTCAAAATGCCTCATGAATCTTTGTAGAGGACTATTTTAGTCTCACGGCCCATAAAAGTGTCAATATAGTCCCCTGACTCTTTTAATTAGCATTTTAGAAAAGATTTACATGAAAAATCCTAAAAAGAAGAAGCCAAGAGCAGAGGAGAAAAACTTAACTATACTCAAGAACATAATTTGAAGTAAGCCAATTACTTCAAATTATAATTGTAAAGCAAAACAAATAGAACAAAAGGTGAGTGAAATTTGCCGCAAATAAAATTCTTATCTAAAAAATGTAAATGTGTATAAATAATCCATTGCAGAGAGTAACCTGATCAAGACATGCCAAAAAGTACTATGTTTGTATTGTCCTCACTATTACAAATGCATGTGTTGTGTATATTAATATAAAATTACAAGGAGCATTAGCATATTGTATACCACCATTTATACCACCAAAATATTTCATATCATGTTAAATATACCACCATTTTAACTCTTAAGAAGTGAAATACTCTTTTTCATGCATAGATAGAATCATTTGTATCTTAAAATTGAAGTTTAGATGTTGGAAATGTAAATACATAGGAAATGAGTGGATGTATGTAAATCTTCCTATAATTACATTACAATAAGAAAGCAGCTCACCTGCAATACTAGGGCCAAGAGCAACTACACAAGCACCGGTTAGTGTTGCTAGGTCAACAACCTGCAATATACCAATGATTATTCCAAATTTGCAAATAAGTTTGTTGATTATCCAAAAGAAAAGTATTCATAATTTATATCCACATCATTGAATGCTCAATCAATGGCACTATAAGTACTGCCATAATGAAAACTTTTGCAGCTTAATTCCACTAAAACAAAACAATATTACAAAAGATCATGACTTAATAAAAGAAATTTAACAATATTCATACCACCCAATTCCTATGGTTTTATGTATCTAACACCTAAAGTTTAATTCTTACATTTATAACTCACAAATCGTTCATATCACATAAAAAATACCACCATTTTAGCTCTTTTTTCATGCATAGGTAAAGTTGCATGTATGTAAAAATTGAAGTTTAGGTGTTAGATAAGTAAATGCATAGGAATTGAGTGGTATGCGAGTAAAATCTTCCAAAAAAATCTTTATTAACTAACAAAAACTTTTCTCCAGGTTTCAAATCAAATGATGCCATCAAAGAAATTTATGAGTTATCAGCTATAAGCCAACAATTAGATATTATATAAAAGCAAATAGCCTTACACAGAACTTCACAATTTCAGAAGTTGGACAACTTTTTAGTGGCTATGAGAAATGTACCTTTTCAATGCCCTGGTTACATGCATAAACCAAAGCATCTGCAAGAGTGAGCCTGCCTTCAGCATCAGTATTATTGACCTGAAAATGATAAAAAAGTTTAAATATAAAAGTAAAATCAAAAGATCGATTCAAGATAAATATTTTGAGATAACCAGTTGGATAATCATAGTAACACTATGTTCGCATGAAAAAATGCATAATCTGACTTGATCTATTTGGTTATCACTAAAGAGTAAAGACTCATAGAATTATGATTTGAATCAGACCAACTTACTCTCATCCATCAAGGGGCTGTCAGCCTACTGTAGCAACCTTGACGGTAACAACCTGAACTCTCATCCATCAAGATATTCTTCGCTTTTGCCTAATGGCCTCACAGTTTTGTCATATTGGTATAACTTCCTAGGAGGATACCGATATTAAGAATACTCTCCTACGAGCATGCTTAACTTTGAAGTTTCTAATAAAATTCCAACCGTGACACTTGATGTTTAAGAGTTCAGCTTTGATTCAACTTAAGGGTTACACAATATCCCTCACTTAAGTAATTGACGTCATCGTCAATTTTCTTGACCCAGAATTTTCCATCATATAGATTTTCTTATCTTCAAACTGGTGTAATGCGCTAATGCAATTTGTAACAGCCTAAATTCTCATCCATTAGATATTGTCAGGTTTGGCATAATGGCTTCACGATTTTGTCTTATTGGCGTAACTTCCTAGGAAACCACCCATCTTGAGAAAGCTCATGTACGAACATGTTTAATTTTGATTTTTTTTTATGAAATTTCAACCACTACACCAAAACACACCTCGATGCATAAGAGTTCAGCTCAATTTTTTTTCCACTTGAGAGGTTTCACAATCTCCGCACTTAAGTAATCGATGTCCTCATTAGTTTTCTTAAACCAGAACCATACACGAGACATATATTCCTATCTTTAGACTGGCGTAGTGCTTTGATACTATTTGTAATTGCTCGAACTCTGATCCATTGAGATATCATCCGCTTTGGCCTAATGGCCTCATAGTTTTGTCCTATTGGTGTAACTTCCCAAGAGATCATACATATTGAGAATACTCTCATACGAGCATGCTTAACTTTGAAGCTTCTGATGAAATTCAACTGCTAACACCACAAGGCGCCGCAATATTTAATTGTTCAACTTTTATTCTACTTGAGGGGTTTCACATTGACTTTCATTTATTTTTCATTGTTCTTCAAAGCTAATGCAAAGAAAACCATTTATTGCTTCCTTATTTGTTCCTAGTCTAAGTTTTAGAAAGAGAGCGAGGAGATGGAGGCTTGGATGAAAGATTTGGTTGGTATAAATGTAAGAAACTAAAGTTGCTATCAGAAATATAAATACATAAGAATTGGGTGATAGGTATGTAAATGTCTCTATTTTACATGTTTGTGTGGCAAGGATTTTTGTATTTCTTTTTAGTTTTGTTAGTCATTGCCATATTCATAAGTGTTTGGATGTTTGGCCATCCAAGTGTAAATTATAATTAAATCCACAATAAAATGATGGCACATTCAATTATGTCGTACAATAAAAAAAGAGTCTCACACAGCACAATAAAAGTCTATCTCGAGTTACCTCAACCGAACCTTAGGTCAATGAAACTTATGATAAAGAATTAATCAAATGTAAAGAAGAATGAATTTGTGATCTATTAATCAAAGAAATGTTGGCTGTTTCATCATTCTTAAGATAGCTATAATATAAAAGTGATGGTCTTGATGTAAATAAATGAATTATACACAATTCACTAAATTCATCATGAGTGTGCAATAACTCATAGCTTAAATTGTGGAATTTGAAGGGTTGCAGGTGAAATCCCACCTTGCTGATTTATGTCTTATTTGTTATATCTCTAGTTAATCTATCTTCTCATAAAAACCACTGTTTGTATAAGCTTAGTAAAATTATGATAGTATGTGGGGATTTAATGAAATTTTTAAAAGTTAGAATTCCTCTAATTCTATGTATTATAAATACTAGGTTTGTTTATATGATCTTATAGGTTGTGGTGAATAATTATTATTACATGTACTAGTCAATTTTTGCAAAAAGCTAAGCATAATGTGATGAGCAAGAATTCTTTCTTATTTCATTGTGAGAAGCACTAAGTGAAGCAGAGTTTTTACTAATTGAATTGCTTGTGCTTATATATCATATACACACACATTATGTGAATATGTGAATACAATAATCATTTAATTGACCAAACATCAACCACGTTAAATGACAACTTTCAATAGATACAATAATATATTCAATCAGAATAATTTTGAATAATCCAAAAGTCAAAAAAGAATCAAAGTCATACAAAAATGAAGTGATGAAATAATAGTTAAAAAATAAAGAATATATTTGTGAAATTAAAAGACCAACTAGAGACCAAGAGGCAGTAAAGCATTAAGATTGTTGTAATCTAATAGGTTAAAACAACATTAACCTCTTAAGGTTGTAGCTTCCAATGACCATTACAAGGGATTATTTGTTGAGAACTGTTAAGAGTTTATTGCTTTCTCCTATGATAAGTAGCATAATATTGTAAGCTTAAGGGCATGATATCAAATTTTAACTCCAATGAAATTCATTTAGGTTTTGATAAACGATCCAAACACCTTGATATAGATTTAAAGAAGGATCATATCCTTTTCCCTTTAAATTTCAATCATTAGCAATTTAGCATCAAGATTCAGAAAATGCTTCCAACTAATAAATTGCATAATACAAAACATAATCGGGGGGCAATTACATACAGATCGCCCGAAAATTGGTATTTACAAATCAACAATCCTTTTTCATCCAATTTTCAAATTCTCACTCAAATATCAAAATTCACGGCAAAACCCCAACCCTTATTTTTTCATTTTTAACAAATTCTCAATAATTTGATCGTGACACGCTTAAATACGTTGGTTTAGTGGTTCAAAAAAATCACCCGAGTGGTTAATTTGTGAATATAAATCTTTCGAGTGGTCTGTATGTAATTATCCCAAAATAATAATAATAATTTCAATCATATTGAAATAATTTTAGGAATTTATTGTTGTATATTGGAAGAGACTTACTAGTTCATATAATCACTAACTATCCAAAAAAACTATTTTGATTATCTTTTATCATTTTTTGTCAAACTTCTCTACATAAATGTGTAAGAAAAAATTTTAACAAAAAATATTTTCTTATATCTTCAATGTAAAATCATCATTTCAAAAATACAACTATAAATTCATACAACTAAAATGAAATTTATATTTTTTTTTCCACATCATTTACTATTGCCCATTTGATCAGTATGGTAGATATACTTTAAAAGCAACAAATACGTTAAAATACTTAGAATATTTCCTTTCAATGGTTGACTACATTTAATTTAAATATGCTTGAAATGTATGATATATGCAATGCTTATTTTTCTCTATTAAAATCTATACATGGGTTCTAATGTTAAGCATTTCAACCATCTCAATGAATTTGAACTCTTTGCTTGATTAAGATCTAGATTCAATGGTGCCTCATGAACATTGAAATATTTATGCAAACCAAATAATTCCAATGGTAAGGTTACACCAAAGTGCAATGCATGCAAATATGAAAGTTTAGGTGTGATATCCGTAAATAAATAAAAATTATGTGCTAAGAATGTAAATTACAACCCATCACTTTTCAATAACTCATTAACTATGGAGAAATGTATATAAGAAAGAAAATTAAATCAAATAATTCTTCTTATTTCAAATCTATACATCATTGACTCTGCTATATGTTCTGAGAGGTCAAGCAACATAGTTCATGCTTAAACGATCAACATTCATTTAAATCAAATAATAAAATTTACCTCTATTGTTTTCCCGTTAGAAGCTGTAACAATATCACCTGGTCTCATGCCAGCGCCACTAATCATATTTTCGCAGGCAGCAACAATGAAATGAACCTGGAATAAAAGCATTACTAGACCGAGTTAGATGTTATTTTTTGTCAAAATGACATAATAAAATACGAGTAAATATATGCATGCAAGGTTTTGCGAACAAATACATGGAAAATTTTACCTCCACTCCTGGGGGTTTAATTTGACCGATGGCTTTTGCTGCGCCAAAGGTTGCAGCAGATCCACCCATATCAAACTTCATGAGTTCTATGGAAGATCCTGGCCCAGCCTTGATGTTATAGCCTCCGCTGGTACAAGAATGAAATGCATATTTATGTCATTTTTATTTTAAACTGAATTGATTCAGGAAACACCTTGAAGTGCAGATGATGAAAGGAAAAGATTAAAAGGAATATTCACATTGATACCACTGAACTCATATGTAATTACATATCTAACAACTAAACTTTGCTTTTTTATATTTATATCACTCAAATCTTTCATTTCACGTAGAAAAATATCACAATTCTAACTTTTAAAGAGTGAAATATACCGTTTCACGCTTAGTTAAGGTGGTATCTATGTAAAAATTGAAGTTTAGGTGTTAGATACATAGGAATTGAGTGGTATGCATGTAAATCTTCCAATAAAAACATGCAAGAATAAGCTATCAAAGTTAGTGAAAAGATATCATATTTATAGTTAGAATGGAAAAAATATGGCAATGAAATAGAATCCAACTGCTCAACCATGCAAACAAACATGTTTTGAAGGCTAATAAATACAAGATACAAAGGGATGATAACTGGAGACAGGGCAGAATGTTCTGGAAAATATCTAAGCTTTCCCAATATATGCCGTAGTGAAAGAGCCACTGCTTCTTTCATCTAGCTGTCTTATCCAAACTTACACAGTTTAATGAATTAAATTATCTAAATCTTAAGATTCTCTCGACTAATCTATGGATTAAAAAAAATGTGTACTTACCTATCAAATGTTAATCCCTTGCCAACTATTGCTAACTTGGTCTTCACATTGCCATCTGGCGGTGTGTAGCGTAGATGAATAAAATAAGGAGGATTTGATGATGCTGCAGCAACCGCCAAGTACGAGCCCATCTTCAACTCTTTACACTGTTCCGCATCAAATATATTTGCAGTAAAAACATCATTGTATGATGAGGCAATTTTTGAAGCTTCTTCTGCAAGTGCGCCTGATAAAATCCGATAAAATTTCTTTTACTCATCCATTTATAATGATTGGAGAAGGGTTAAGCTAGAGAAATGTGAACCAATTTCTAAGAGCACAATTGTTCTAAACATAATGACAATAAGAAAAGTGTAAATATAGTCTCTGACTCTTTGCAGGGAGTTATTTTAGTCCCAAAGTCAAAGTGTCAATTTAGCTCTCAAGTGTTCTTTAATATAGGCTAAAATAATCTCCACGAAAAACTATTTCAGTCCCAAGTTTAAGAATTTGAAGACTAATTTGACACTTTTGTAGTTCTGGGAATAAAATTGTCTCATGTAAACAGCTTGAGGACTATTTTGACATTTTAATGAAAACAAAATAAAAAAGATGAATCTTGATTCCATTTACCAGGAGTAAGTACATTTGCTGGAGCATTAACAAGCTCTTTCCCAAAAATTAGTCCAGAGCAAATATTGCTAGCATACTTGAGCTTTAAATCTACTTCAGGTTCAGAACCCAAACCGACAATATCCACAGATTTAAGCACAGCTTTTTTTGATTCAGACTTGAATCTGTTGTCTTCATACACACCCAAAATAGTTCCTGCAAAAACCCCAGAGAAGTATCAAACTAATAACTCCCTTCACATAAATTGCCAGATAATAGTTACAAACATAAAAACTATAAGTGCTAAACTTTACATGGGGTCATTTTAGTCTAGGGGTACATAAAAGTGCCAAATTCGGCCCTGTACTCTTTAAATTGAAACTGAATAGCCTTTCGTGGAAACTATTTCAACACATATTAAAAGATTTTGGGAGCTAAGTTGGCATTTTTATAGACTCTGGGACGAACATGACTGTGCAAAGAGTCGGGAATTATTTTGACACTTTTCTCTAAAAATACTAAGAAATAAACCTGAAGCAATTGCTGAAGCAGCATGCAGTCTAAAATCTTCTGAAGGTTTAGATGCCAGTACAATAACGGCATTTGATGCTTGGCCAGTCTTTGCAGCTGCTGCAACAGCCTCACCAACTGCTTTATAGGAAGCTGTTGCTGATGAAGGGGGATATGGTCCAAGTCCAACCAGACTCAACCTCTTAAAACCAAAGCCATGTAATCTGAGAACAGTTGACTGCCCAGGCTTTCCCTTGAAATCCTCTTCTGTTGACATCTCTGACAGAAGACCACCAAGTTTGTCATCTAACCCTTTTAAAATAGGATTTTCAAATTTGGAGTCTGAATTCTTGGACATATCTTGTTCGGAGACAACAACTGCAAGCACATCTCCTTTCCATTCAGCGATATCAATGTCCTTTGCTGAAAATGTGATCTGCAAACAAATGCACATGAAAATAGAGAGAAGTGTCAAAATAGTATCCTGACTCTTTGCGGGAGGTCATTTTAGTCTCAGAGACTATAAAGTGTCAATTTAGTCTCAAACTCTTTTAATATAGGCTGAACGCATAGGTCTATTTCAGCCCCAATTTTAAAAGTCTTGGAACTAATTTGCACTTTATAGACTATAGGACTAAAATGGCTCCATGTAAATAGTTAAGGGAATATTTTGACTCTTTAATCCATTAAAAAAGAACATATCTTTGTTGGAAATGATTTAGTCATTGTGCAAGTTGCTAGAAAATAATCAGTAATATATAGTTATCCTAAAATCTTCATAGAGCGAGAAAAAGTATGAATAAACCCATAAAACTCAGGGAGCAAATCCACAAAACCTAACATCATTGCATATGTTACAATATTAATGCTACAACTTGCTCAGTTAAGGTTCCTACACAATTTTAGTGGATGTTATGCTGAAAACTATTAGTCAGTAGTGCTGAAAACTATTAGTCAGTAGTGCTGAAAAAAATCAAATATTGCCGTAGAGCAACAAGTTTAAAGAATTAAATCTGCGATACAGAAATGAGGATATAAATGGGTTATAAATTTCAGATTAAGTTGAGTAAATAAAATGAATAAATAATTAGTACACTGTCTTATACAAATATTAAGGAGACTTAAGAAAATATATTTAATTTAACTACAAATGAAAAAAGAGGAACAATTATGTTGAAGAAATAGTTGTAAGAGCATAACAAATCATACAAATTGACAACATGTCCCTTCATGTGTTTTTTTTTGTTTGTAACTCTTATAATCTAAAGAGGCAACATGACAAAAAAAAAGGACATGGAAGCAATTTTCAAGCACCTACCTATCAAATTATGCGTTTGGGGCATTTACATACATGTCACACAATTCTTATATAGTTACATATCTAAACAGCTAAACTTTCATATTTGCATAAATAATACTCAAATTCCCGACATCACATCAGAAACATCACTATCACTAACCTTTTTAAATTGAAGTACACTTTTCACGCATAAGTTTTTAATTCTGAGGTGTTATAAATGTAAAAATTAGACTTTTGGCGTTTGATACGTAAATGCATAAGAATTCTATGGTATGTGTCAATCAAGAAAGGCGGAAATTCGGCTACTAAATTAAGAGTTTTCTATAATTAGAAGCTTCCTTATTTAAATTATTTCTAAAGTCTTCATTCTGATTTATTTCCCTCTGAATATTTAGATTAGGAATATCTACTATTAAGTTACCTAAAATAGATTATGCACTTTATTTTGTGCCTAAAATAGATTGTAAGATTATTATTTAATTAGATTGTAACAAAGGGAAAATGCATCGAAGATTATTATTTAATGGAATGAAAGCAAAGGGAAAATGCATCGGGCCTATTCAGGATTAAGTCTATTTTTCTTAAAACTTTGACATGGTATCAGAGCCAAATTTTTGCCCTAACCACCGGTAGTCGTTGGAGGACCATCAAGACTCCCTTCCCGCCAGCCTTTTTGCGGGAAGGGAAGAACTATTTCTTCACCTTTGATTCGTCTTCTACAGCTTCATCCCGGGCTGCTTCGTCCTCCTTCGTTCGCTTCGGCTGCGTCCACCTTCGATCTTCGAACCGTGATTAATTTTTCAGCTAACAATAAAGCCCCCGCGTATGCCCTCTAAGCTTTGTCCATCGTCTCTTCAAGAGCCTTTCTATAAAGATTTTGCGGTTGTTTGTTGTCTCTCACAAAATCGAAGCAGAGGATCGCCCCGACATCTTCTGCGATACGATCGATGGCTGATAGAAACAAGCACATAAGAAAATCCAGGACATTCTATTTTTCTTGTTATTTGTGTTTCTTATGTATTCATTTGATCAATAGAAGAGTTTTGGAGTGAATTGTGATTGGCAACGCAGATCCAGGGAGGATGTGGAGCGTAAGGCCGAATCCGACGAACAAGGACGCATAGCCATTCGAGGAGGTGGATCCGACGGGGAGATATGGATGATATGGGGATATTCTAAGTACTGGCGCAACAAAGAAAGTCTACACGCAAAGAGATGAAACTTATTATGAAGTGCAAAATCCATTCATTGTGGAATATAAGGATCTTGGGTTGAAAATAATTGCTATGTTTGTATTATTATTCGACCGATTCGGATCTTCTTCACCAGGCATCGTTGCTTCTGTGGCATCTTTGAATGGTTCTTACGCTTCGACTCATCCGCTTCGGCTTCAACTTCGACACTCCTTCCTAGATAGATGGTTTCGACTTCTACAAACCATAAATCTTAGGCTTCGACATTCACGGCTTCGACACTCTCAAGCTTCGACACTCTTTGGCTTCGACACTTACGACTTGAAGATTTTTTATCCTAGCGGTGTTATCAACTTTTTGTTGGCAAATTGATGTTTCATGATCAATCAACATCAATTTGAGGGGGATGCCAATCAGGAATAACGGAAATTAGACAGCTAAATTAGAAGTTTTCTATATATAGAAGCTTCCTTATTTAAATTATTTCTAATTTTTTATTCTGATTTATTTCTCTTTTAGTTGAATATTTAAATTATGAATATGTATTTTAAGTTACATAAAATAGATTATGCACTTTATTTTGTACTTAAAATAGATTGAAAGATTATTATTTAATGGAATGGAATGAAAGCAAAGGGAAAAGACAGCAAGCCTATTCAGGTTTCAGTCTATTTTTCTCAAAACTTTGACAATATGCATGTAAATCTTCCTAAGAGTTTTTATCCCATCAACGCCATCAATCTGATCATCTCTACCTTCTTTGAAGTGAAATATATCATTTCATGCATAGATTTATGACATCACCGTGTTATAAGCCTAAATATAAAACTTTAACTTTTTGATATGTAAATACATAAGAATTGTATGGCATGTATCTAAATTTCCCAATAATCAAATAATTAAATGAGTGCACATACAAGAATGAAAAGGAATCATCAGATTGTAATGTAACAAAAGAATAAAAAAAAACTTGGAATAACACAATGAAAAGACAAAAAAATCCATCTAATAGGTGAAGAGCTCCATTGAGAGATATCATTTATGCCCCCTGACTCACAGTATAGTGAATATTGGAGAATAATGCCAATTTCTTTTTTGGGGCATTTACACACACATCCTAATTCCTCTGTATTTACATATCTAAAACCTAAACTTTATTCTGTACACACATAAAAAAACATCATGATGCAAATATAGAAGGAAATATGGAGGCAGATATCAACGCAAATGCAAATCCGAAAGGATGATAATTTAAGTCCATAATCCGTGCAATCACAAAGAAAATTTGGAAAGTTCGTGTTTTTGGAAGTTAATTATTTAGATTTTGTATTTTATTATGTTAAGTTTATTGTTTTCGTAATTTGAATTCCTAGTTATTGCTTTCCCAATTTGATGGGAAAATAATATTTAATTTCCTAGTTATTGCTTTCCCAGTTTGATAGGAAAATAATATTTATTGCTTTCTTTCCTAGTTGACATGGGAAGACACTAATGTAATTTGCTATTTAATGGGGTGATTAAAAAAAAGGAGGTAGCTCTTTTTTGATTGCCAATACAGTTTTATTTCAATTATCGTTGGTGATCTTTCAACACCGTAGAGTGATTCTACATTAGCCATATTGAGGTCAATAAGATATTGAACTTGTGGGAACGACACCAATTTGGTATCACAGAGGGTTTTCCTGCTTCAAGAACGTAAAATATTTTATATCGGTGACCCGTAGTGGTAACTCTTACAATATGTCCAATAACCAAAACCAAAATAATGATCTAGCCCAACTACAAACACAGATCACCCAACTGACATCCGTTCTAGAACAGATCCTTCATAGATTGGATACCATGGAGGAGCGTCAAACCCGAGATGATTTTATACCGCATAATAGGAGGATGTGTGATCCTCCTTTGGAAGCTGAAGTAGATGATAATGAAGAGGAAGAAGAGTCCAAGGGAGTTGGTGATCGTGAAGCTCGCTCTGGATGAAATGATCGTGAAATTCACAGGCGACGAGGAGGGTGTGGCTTCGACCATCACCCTCGTGATGAACTAACCAAGAGCATGAAGGTCGATATTCCAGACTTTCTTGGAAAATTGGACCCCAATGCTTTTGAGGATCGGTTGACTGCTATTGAAGATTATTTTGATTGGTTCTAAGTTTCTGAAGATAGAAAGGTGCGTTATGTCTGTATGAAATTAAAAAGACATGCACGAGCTCGGTGGAGTAGCGTAGAAGAACAACTACGTCATACTCAATGAGCGTCAGTGTCCAATTGGGAAGAAATGAAGGAACGACTAAAGGAGAAATATTTACCTATTGACTAGGAGCAAATGATGTTTGAAGAGATGTTGCAACTAAGGCAAGAAATATTGACTGTCGACCAATACACAAACCGTTTCCATGAATTGGCTGTCCGCAGCAAGGTGGTGGAAAACGAACAACAAACTCTAGCTCGATTTTGCACGGGGTTACGTAATGAGTTGCGAAAAGAGATGCTAACAACACGAATCCTAAATGTTGATGAAGCTTATCAACTGGCTTTGCACATTGAAAAACAATTGGGATTCTCCAACAGAAGACATGTCATTTACGGATCCCACACAAGAACGAGCATCAACACAGCAATACCAGAAACCATCTCTACCCACTGACCAAGATAGACACGCCATGGTGGGTGACTAAAGTGGAAAGTCCAAACTTTTGGGCGACGAGCCACAATGCTATAAGTGCAAGGGATTTGGACATTTTGTTGTAGTACGTCCCACAAGAGAAAAAAAATTGGCCTTTGTGTGTGAAAAATAACTTCGATTAATAGACACTGTGGATGGAGAAGAAGATACAAAATACGAAGCAAGCGACGGCGAGGATGTAGAGCACTTGGGAGCAACTGTTTTACCCAGTTGTGTGATTCACCGAGTTTTGACGGATACTAAGAAAAAGATCCAAGGTGCTGATCTTGATTGGAGGCGCACCAACATTTTCCATATATGAATGAAACATGGTGGTCGGGCGCTAAATGTAATAATTGACAACGGGAGTGGAATAAACGTGATTTCCAGTTATGCAGTTGAACGCTTGGGTTTGAAGACTGCAAAACACCCCACCCCTTATCGAGTAAGTTGGGTTAATGAAGTTAAACCCATTTTAGTTACGCATTATTGCTTAGTGAAGTTCACAATGGGAAAAAGTTATTCGGATGAGGCCTGGTGTGATGTGGTTCCCATGACCGTTTGTCATTTGCTATTGGGTCGACCTTGGCTCTATGACAGAAAGGTGGTGTATGACGGGTATGCCAATTCTTACTCCTTTAAATTTAATGGTTGTTTTAGACCCTTTTGTTTTAGACCCTTTGCAGATCTCTAAATTTGAAGCACAACATAAACAAGAAAAAGTAGAAACGTTCTAGTGCTAACCATTCTGCAATTCACTCAAGCTAAACAGGATGACGGTATTCTCCCCAACAACTTAACCAAGATCCTAGAGAAGTTCCAAAACATTAGAGTCAAAGAGATGCCAAGACAACTACCACCAACGCAAGAGGTACAACCAGTGCCAGCAACCACAGACATACCGGCTCAACAAGACACAATTAGTCATGTCCCTAAAAATATAGGCCCAAGGGATGAAATTGCATCCATACTCGATCACCGGTTTGTTACTATTCGGCGTGGAGGATATTTCAAGTCTTAGTTCACTGGAAGAATCATTCAAATTTAGACTCTGTCTAGTTGCAAGCATCAGAACTCCAACGTTTAAACACACATACTTTTGCTACGTACCTTCAATAAACTTTTCGGAGTCACCGACAATTGATGCAAATCTGGAAGGAAATATGGGGGCAGATATCAACACAAAGGCAATTTTGGAAGGGTGATAATTTAATTCCATAATCCGTGGAATCATAAGAAGTTTTGGAAAGTTTGTGTTTTTGGAAGTTAATTATTTAGATTATGTATTTTATTATTTTAAGTTTATTTCTTTCTTAATTTGAATTCCTAGTTATTACTTTCTCAATTTGATGGGAAAATAATATTTAATTTCCTAGTTATTGCTTTCCCAGTTTGATAGGAAAATAATATTTATTGCTTTCTTTCATAGTTATTACTTTCCCAGTTGAGATGGGAAGACATTAATGTAATTTGCTATTTAATGAGGTAATGCAAAAAAAGGAAGTAGTTTTTCTTTGATTATCAATTCAATTTTCTTTCAATTATCATTGGTGAGTCTTCCAACACCGTAGAGTGATTCTACATTAGCCATCTCCTGAGGTCAATGAGCTATTGAACTTCAGAGAACGACACCACACCAACTTGTCATGAATATGTATGGTTGCATGCAAGTAAAAACTGAATTTTAGCTGTTAGATATGTAAATACATAGGAATACACACATGCAAATCTTCTTTCTTCTCTTTTTATTTCTACTTGCTTGCTTCAGTAAGAGGGGAACTAAAAGCCTTGAATCTAATTTCTTCATAAGGGGGATCAAACACAATTTCTTTTTGCAAAAGTACCAAATGGTCATTGCTTCATCAGAATCTAATCCCAGGAGGCCGAAAAACTCAGAGTCATTGCAATCTAATGACTTGAGTAGTGAATCAGAGCTAACACAGAATAATAATTCGAAGCAAAAGTAGTGAGATTTAAAAAAATGGAGTATGAGAAAGAATACCGGAGGGAAATCGACGACGGAGGGCTCGGTGAGGCCTAGGGTGGCGTGGGTTGTGAGAGCCCGCGCCATGTAGTGCCGTGAAGGGAAGCGACGGGAGAAGGAAAGAAGAGGGCGTTTGAGCTTCCGAGCAAAGAAGAGAGTAGATTCGATGGGAGGGTAGCAACAGAGACGTGACGCAAGGAATGCGGCAGCCACGGCAGCGGCTGGCACTAGCAAAAGTGAGGCCTTTTAGCACCGCAAGTTAGGTATGAAAAGTTATTTTACATGAGTTGCAATTAAAAAAAAAATTAATATTTTTCTATCTTGCATATAAACTTTCATAATTAAATATTATATAAAAATAATACTTATTATTATTTTTTAATAGTCAAATTCATACATAAGTTAAGTATTATGTGTATACATATGGAAGCTAATGTATGAGATAGATAAATCCATAAGAATTTAGTGTTATGTATGCAATTTTCCTAAAAAAAATCTTGATGAATGTCTGAGCTTCAATTTTGTTTGAATAAGAAATTTATTATTGCATTTCTAGTATTTTTCTTTCTTTCTTTGAAGTATAGTTAACTTCTTATTATATCAAGTAAAATTTTAGTTATATATTGTTGAATCCTAATTTATTCTTTGTAAACATGCCCCGAGAGTTAGAACTGGAGAGAGAGCGAAAGAGAAAGAGAGAGTAGAATAAGTCCAGAATTCATTGTAGAGAAAACTGGGAGAGCTCCCTTTATTTGTAATTTTGTCTCTTATTTAAGAGACATATTTTGTACAATTATAAAAAATATTAAATTATTATGGAAACTACTCTTAATATCATTGGCATTCTAATTAATGGTATGAATTTCATATCATATTTGCATTACAGTTTGAATTACAATAGTAGTATTATGATCATTGGCATTAGTATCCGATAGCTAGTATTTGGCAGTTGGTATTCACAATAAATAGTTGGCCCACTTGCTTGAATTTGATCGACTGAGGTGACCGACCGAGTGGCGACCGCGTCTTGTCTTAGTCGACCAAGGTGCCCATCGAATGCTGATCTTGTTCAACATGATAAAAGTGGGTTAGTCGATTAGCCGCAGTCTAAGTTTCTCGCTTGTACTCCAGTCAGTCGAGACTACAAATGTGGTCTATCTTTTGGATCTCTAGTTAAAGTGTGTCGGTTGGTTTTTAATCACGCGGTTAGTTGTAAGATGGTGTGACGTCTCGATTGTCCAGGCCGTTAGATTGCTTTGAGATCCATGCTGACAGTTTTAGAGCGTACGTGTTTTGAGTGTGTTGTATGCATACATACATACATATGCATTTCAAGTGTTTTTATGTGAACTATGGTTATCCTTTTTACAATATCAAGTAAAATTTTAGTTATAAATACCTTTTATAATGTAAGAATGGATCACAATTTAAAAGAGAAGGCGATGCTTAAACATTGGTAGGCTTATAAAAACATTCTCCATTAAAATCTTATCAATTTGATTTAGAAAAAAAGTATATTTTTAATTTAATTATTTTACAAAATGGCTAACATTGACATTTATTTAAGAAAATAGTTGAAAGATGTGATAAGTTAAACATTAATTAATCTTCTAAATGCATGATGCAATCATGTGCGAAAAATAAATGCACTTTTTTATAATAAAAGATTGAGGAGAATGTCCCCCTTGAAGTCGCATATCAAATAAACAATTGTCTATCACTATTTGATTTCCGACGTAAGCCGTCTTGCTTATTTGGTCTCCCTTCTTAAAAGAAGAATGATAAAGTCAGATGACTAAATATTATCAAACATTTAATGTTTTTTGTCAATTTACAAACATCACATATTAAAAAGTTATGTTGCAAAAGACCTACATAAAGAAAGAGAGGACATAAATTGACAAGATTTTCATGTTCTTCGTCAATGTAGTCAATCGCGTCGTGGGGAGATGAAACTGGATGATGAAATACTTGTCAAACTGAGGCGAGTTAGAAGAATGGTTATACTGTTGACACATACACCCATTTGGGCATTCATATAGTATCTCATCCCTAATGTATATTTTCCCAGTACTTGACCATTGATCTTGATAGCTGGCACTCGATAGTTGATACTTGATAATTAGTATCCGATAGCTAGTATTTGGCAGTTGGTATTTGATAGTTGGTACTCGGTAGGGTGCTTGACAGTTAGACTATGTTATAGTTGGGCCTACGCCAAAGGTTCATTGAATTTTATTGATATTATGATCAAGTTAGTTGGAATCAAGACCTTTGCCAAGTTGACTTGAGGTGAAGAGGTCGGTGAATTGACATTCCATGTGAACATGTACTTCATTTGAATATTCCCTTCACTATCTCCAACCAGGGATATCTTTTACGTTAGTCCATGAGTATACATAAACACACACATGTTATATGCTTGCCTCGTTTCAATTGTATTTATATAGTAGGCATGATATAAGAATTATAGATTAGACTTTGTTAAACACACAGATCAATTGCAATGAAGCCCAATAAAGAACTGAAGATGTAAGGAAGAAGAAGAAGAGGGCATGTTCAAATCTTTTATTCACTATTTCTCAATCTAATATTTTAACTAATAATTAATTTTTAATCAATTAATTTAATAAGTTTAACTTAAATTAAATTAAATTAATAAAATCAACTTAAAATAAAATTAACTTATTAGCAACCCTCGCTCGCCTACATCACTGCTCTCTCCCCGGATTCCGAAACCCTCACCGGCTTCGTGGAGGAACCCTCGGGCTAGTGCGATACAGTCGCAATTGGAGCTAGCTGGGAAGTCAACCACGAGATCGCTGGGATCGCGGCGTACGGAGACCACCGTAACTCCATCTTCCTCCTCCTTCCGCTCCGCTTCTTCCCAAAACCATTGAGACCATTGAGGAAGGTGAGTCGGCACCTGTTCGGGCCATTTTTTCTATTCCCTCTCTTCGGATTTACCAAATCGCGGCTTTATTTTGTTCCCAATGACCGTCTGGCAAGATTTTTAGGTTAAATCCAGCTTATATTCTGCTCTAAATCCGTTACCAGACAGGCTTCTTATTGATTCCTTCCTCTATCACCTAATCCCAACCGAAATCGACTAGATCTGCGTTCCAATCCCTCAGATCTACGAAAACAATTCCTTATATACCTCCATTGTTTTGTTTCCTTTTCCAGTTCCACACGCAGCAGAATGGAGAGGTCATCCACTCTCCTCGTCCACTTCGACAAGGGAACCCCGGCACTGGCAAACGAGATCAAGTTGGCACTCGAGGGAAACGATGTCGCCGCCAAGATCGACGCCATGAAAAAGGCTGTCATGCTTCTTCTCAACGGCGAGGCCCTTCCGCAGCTTTTCATCACAATCGTCCGCTACGTACTTCCTTCTGAGGACCACACGATCCAGAAACTTCTCCTCCTTTATCTCGAGATAATCGACAAGACCGATTCCACCGGCCGCGTCCTACCGGAGATGATCCTCATCTGTAAGAACCTCCGGAACAACTTGCAACATCCAAACGAGTACATCCGAGGCGTCACGCTTCGTTTCCTCTGCCGCCTTTCTGAGGCTGAGATCATTGAGCCCCTCATTCCTTCCATTCTCTCCAATATCGAGCACCGTCACCCTTTCATCAGACGCAATGCGATTCTTGCTGTCATGTCCATCTATAAGCTCCCCCAAGGCGAGCACCTGCTTGCAGATGCTCCAGAGGTCATTGAGCGCATCCTCAATAGCGAGCAGGATCCCTCTGCCCGCCGTAATGCCTTCCTCATGCTTTTCACCTGCGCCCAGGATCGAGCTGTCAACTACCTTCTCTCCCATGTTGACCAGGTTCAAGACTGGCCCGAACAGCTGCAGATGGTTGTGCTCGATCTCATTCGGAAGGTCTGCAGATCCAATCGTGCGGAGAAGGGCAGGTACATCAAGATCATCATTTCCCTCCTAAACGCACCATCTATTGCAGTTATCTACGAGTGTGCTGGCACTTTGGTCTCCCTTTCCTCTGCTCCAACGGCAATAAGAGCAGCAGCCAATACCTACTGCCAGCTACTGTCACAGAGCGATAACAATGTCAAGCTCATAGTTCTGGAACGGCTCAATGAGCTAAAGTCTTCTCACAGTGATATCATGGTGGAAATGATCATGGATGTCCTCAGGGCTCTCTCAAGCCCTAATGTTGATATTCGTCGGAAAACACTAGACATTGCGCTGGATCTGATAACCCCTAGAAATGTTGATGAGGTGGTGCTGACACTCAAGAAGGAGGTTGTGAAGACTCAAAGTGGTGAGCTCGAGAAAAATGGTGAGTATAGACAGATGCTAGTTCAGGCAATTCATACATGTGCTATGAAGTTCCCTGAAGTTGCGAGTACCGTTGTTCATCTCCTAATGGATTTCCTTGGGGACAGTAACATCGCCTCTGCTGTTGATGTAGTGCTCTTTGTCCGTGAGATTATTGAGACAAATCCAAAATTGAGGGTCTCAATAATCACAAGGCTGCTGGATACATTTTACCAGATCCGAGCTGCAAGGGTCTGTTCCTGTGCCCTTTGGATTATAGGGGAATACTGTCTCTCACTTTCGGAAGTTGAGAATGGAATTTCTACCATCAAACAGTGCCTTGGTGAGCTCCCGTTCTACACAGCTGCTGAAGAGGGTGATACTGTAGATGCCACTAAGCGACCTCAGCAGATAAATTCTTACATTACTGTTTCTTCCAGGAGACCCGCTGTCCTTGCTGATGGAACTTATGCTACACAAAGCGCTGCCTCAGAAACGGCATTGTCTGCTCCTGTTCTTGCACCTGGTTCCTTGGTCACAATTGGAAATTTGAGGTCTTTGATTCTTTCGGGGGACTTCTTTTTAGGAGCTGTAATTTCTTGCACTTTGACTAAGCTGGTTTTAAGGTTGGAAGAGGTCCAGCCATCCAAGACTGAATTAAATAAAGCATGTACTGGGGCATTATTGATCATGGTTTCCATGCTGCAGCTTGGACGTTCATCTTATCTCCCCCATCCAATCGATAATGATTCTTTTGAAAGAATAGTGCTCTGCGTTAGGCTTCTCTGTAACACTGGCGATGAAGTAAGAAAGATATGGTTACATTCATGCCGCCAGAGCTTTGCAAAGATGCTTGCTGACAAGCAATTTAATGAGACTGAGGAGATTAAAGCAAAGGCTCAGATATCTCATGCACAACCAGATGATCTTATTGATTTCTACCATTTGAAGAGCAGAAAGGTATGCAGTATAACCTTTCTGAGTAATCGTATTCCCACATTAGTACCTGTATTATCAGTATTCGTGGCACCGTATAATAGCAATGCTTGGACATATTATAGTCCTGCTTGGACATATTACTAAAAGCGACTTTTGGACCTACACTTCTTTTGAATTCTTATTTTTTATGTTGTTTGTTCTGTACAATTCTTTTTTGGTGGTGTCCTATTGTGTAGCCCTTCACACCATGCTGTTTCTATATCTATATGAGAAAGCTTATTTTAATTCAGTCAATAATAACTTGCATATAAAAGCAGTTTACTGTATTTTTTACTGGCCGTATTTTATAAGGTATAGAAAACAGTACTGAAAGCTAAATTTCTGCCTGTGAGAGCATACGGAGTACAAAGGAGTAGAAATTTGTAGACTCCTTACATTCTCACCACATATTCTCTTTTCCTTATCACATCAAGTATGTGCTTAAGCTTGCTATTCCGACTGTAGAGTTATATGTTTGGCATAGAAAGAGCTAAAGTAGCAGATACTGTGTTATTGACTAGTGGTTTTTCTACACAATGAACTTCATTAAGAGATTTATTGGACACTCCATTGTGTGATATTTATGTGCAATATGTAGTTGCAACTGATGGATAAGCGACACATTAAATTCTAAGATAGGCAATTTTTGAAGTTGAGAGTTCTTATTGAGCAAACATATTCTAACATGCATTTGATCTTGCTTAGCTCATTTGCCTAACAAATGGGTTGAACATAAACAATTATAAAATCAAATAGGAGTTGTTTGGTGATCGAGCTGTTTGACACCTCTAGATGTTAGAATGTTGGAATTAATTAACTGAGATAAGTATTAAGGTGAAGGAAACAATTATTATTTCCTTAGATGGGATATAACTGATATCTATTAAAACTTGTAATGTAGACATGCTATTGATATATGGACTTGATGAATGAGGAAGCATATGGAACATGTTACCAAATTCTTATGTTGGGTTGGGGGTAAAGGGGGATGGCATGAAACAGCGTGGATAGAATTCTTTGCGTTTTGATGTATGAAATATTAGACATGAGATAACTTGTGATCTAAATATCAAAGCCAGTTTATACCTTTATATAAGCATGCTTATTTGTTTGACTGACTTTGACCTGAATTTACATGATAATGGCAAAGCACTTGTCACTAATATATCACCAAAATTAGCAAAAATTCTATTAGCTGGTTATCAAACTTGCTCAAACTACGGTTTTTAAAGTTGGAAAAGTTACATACCACACAATTTATTTGTATTTACTTATCTTAAAACACTTTAGTATCATGAACCTTTGCACGAAAGATGTACTTCACTTTTACGAAGTTACTACTAGTGGCATTTTTTATGTGATTGATATTAAAGATTAGAGTGTTATGTATGCAAATATGAAAGCTTAGGTGTTAGATATGTAAATACATAAGAATTGCGTGATATGCAAGTAAATGCCCCTTAAAAGTTTGGTCTGTTGACTCAGGCATTGCCTTCTAGCACACATCAAAATAAGCTAGGCTGTATTATGGCTTCAACCCTTGTTTTTTGTAAAATAACATGGAGCACTTCATTCCATACCTATCTTTTTTTTTTCATATTCTTTTATTGGATTGGTGGAACTATTCAATAGGTTTTGTTACTATATTTGATGCTTAGCAAAAAATGAGCTCTTAATTTTATTTATTACTTTATCATGCTATTGAAATTTGTATTGCCAGGATTTTTCTTTGGTATTACATATTTATTGAGTGACTTAAGTCTCCATTTATTATGTATATCACTAAAATATTGCATGGTTGTCACACTATGCATGAGAAACATATTCATATTAATTGTTCTTATTTAGAAATTGATTTTTTTTTTCCAGAGTTCAATCTAAGCTTGATATTTACCATAATTTGTGATATGTTCTTCTGGTATTCAATTATTTTCATGTGAAATTGAGATGTTCGAGTTCCTTTAAATGGTTTTGTTAAGGTGTAAAGTTTCAAAGTATTCTCTTGACTATTTATATGGGGTCATTTTAGTCTCGGAGTTTATAAAAATGTCATATTAGTCTCTAGACTATTTTAAAATGGGTTGAAATAGTCCCCAGGAATGATTATTTTCGCTCTCTTTAAAAGATTTTGGGGACTAAATTGACATTTTTTTCGACTTCGGGACTAAATTAAACCCTTCAAAAATGACAGATCATTTTAACACTTTTCTTCTTTGTTAAGCTCTAGTTATGGTGAATCGATGCTCAATCCAATTCACTTATTTCATCTAATGGTAAAATGTAATTCCTCTTTCTCACTTTGACCTGGATGTTTTCATATAATATGTGCGTTTATTAAAATATTTATCCTGGAATCAATTGGTAGTTATGCTTCTTGTACATATAATAAGGGGTGCATGACTAGTTATGCTTTAAGAAAGAGCTACTGAACTTGATTTGATTTTTTTTTTTTGGCATTTATATGCATAGCACAAAATTCTTATTTATTTACATATCTCACACCTAAACTTTCGTATTTACACACATAGCACTCAATTCTTTAGGGGCTGTTTGGCTGCAAGCAGGATTTAACGTTATTGGGATTTATTAAATTCATTTCCACCCAATCGTTGGATTAATAAATCTGGATTTAGGCTGTATCCAAAGAAAAATTGGATTTACTAAATTCTTAAATTAACAAAATTCTTTCATTTTACCGTTTGGCTGAATTTAATAAATCCAGTGATAAAACCTATTAAAAGACCACCATGCAAAAGCCTAATATCTCATAAAAAATAACACTATTTCCACTTTTTAAAAGTGAAATATACCTTTTTATGCATAGGTTTAAAGTAAATATTAATGTTTAGGTGTGAGATATGTAAAAACTTAAGAATTGTGTGCCATGCATGTAAATTTCTTTTTTTTAATGCCATGTTTCCTGAAAGTGTAATATTATATGACCATCCTTTACAGGGAATGAGTCAGCTCGAGTTAGAGGATGAAGTTCAAGATGACTTAAAACGTGCCACCGGAGAATTCACCATGGATGGTGATGATGCCAACAAACTTAATCGCATTCTTCAATTAACAGGATTTAGCGATCCAGTTTACGCCGAAGCTTTTGTGACCGTTCATCATTACGACATCGTTCTTGACGTAACAGTAATCAACCGCACGAAAGATACACTTCAGAACCTATGCTTGGAGTTAGCGACAATGGGTGACCTCAAACTCGTTGAGCGCCCACAAAACTATACATTGGCACCCGAGTCGAGTAAACAAATTCGTGCCAACATTAAGGTTTCGTCCACGGAAACTGGAGTTATATTTGGCAACATTGTTTATGAGACTTCAAATGTGCTTGAGAGAACTGTTGTTGTTCTCAATGACATACATATTGACATCATGGATTACATATCTCCAGCTACATGTGCTGATGTTGCCTTCAGAAATATGTGGGCAGAGTTTGAGTGGGAAAATAAGGTACAACTGGCATTCGTTTGATCATTTGATTTCCGAGAGTTCTCTTTAATCTACCTTACTTATCACTGCTCAATGTTTTATTTTAGGATCATTTACATACAGACCACACAATTCTTATTTATTTACTTATCTAACTTCTAAACTTGTATATTTACATTCATAATGCTCAAATTTTTAACATCACACCAAAGATATCATTTTACTACTAAGTTTTAAAGGTCCAATGCACCTCTTTTTATGCATAGCTTTATAGCACCAAGATGTTATAAATGTAAATCCATAAGGATTGTGCAGTGTGTATGTAAATTTTCCTTTATTTCATTTTATATTTTGTTAATCTATTTTCTGCGTCCTGCAGTTCCATATTTTTTCATGATATGAATGATTTATTTGTGAAAATATCATCAACCACTCCATTCATTCAAAGCTGCATGTCATCTATATCTGCTTTGATATTTTATAGACATATTGATTATCATAATTAGCTTTTTTCCAATTATTTTACTCTTGCAAATTGCTTCATGAGGCGTTGAATCTTTTATTTGCAATGTCATTATAAATAACTTTTATTCATGTTGTCCTCAAGTCTTTTCCTTCTTCTAAATCTTCAAGCATTAAGTTTATCCATCTTCCTAATCATGACATATTTTATGCTTTTTATATGGTAAAATTAAAACCATCTTATCTTATTTTCAATATTGTCATTCTAACCGTTTGTCAAACATGATCATGTCTTTTCTAGACATACATTTTAACATTCTCAATCTCACCATGCGCAACTTTGATATTCTTATTTTTAATATTGATTGCTTTTTATTGTCAAACGCTTGGATTTATATATTACCAATCTATTTGCAAATTCATTAAGTTTGCCTTCCAATTTCCATGATACCCTCTTATCTTTAATATTATTGATCTATTTCTCCATTTCAACCACTTAGTCTTAATTTTGGACATAATCTCTCTATTGATAGCCCCATTCTTCTATATAGTATCGAAGATAAAAAATTATCACACTTAATGTATCACTTTATCTTATCATAATGTCTACCAGGAAATCATAATGTCTATTAGGAATTGTTTAATACCATACACAATGAAATTGTGTATTATATATTTAGTCTTTATTTGAGTGATATTTAATCCTCCATCTAAATATATATATATATATATATATATTATTTATTCGAACCCCCTTCTAATTATAGTTAAATATTTAATTCATTATTGTAACTTTCTTCTCATTTCAGTTTATATCTCACTGGTTAAAAGTATTTCATTTACTTTCAATATTCTTATTGAGCGTTTATGACCAATTCAAAATGATTTGAACTCGATCATGATTTTTGTGGTAAGTCTATTGTAAGTCACTCCACAAATATTTTTAATACTATTTAGTGTTTTATCATGTTTATCTTTAATAACTTCAACGTTTTTTTGACAGATTCCTTTTTCTTCCTTAGTGTGCACCAAATCAATTCTTGCAGTATTCGGTCATTTGCCTTCTCAAAATTAGTAAAAGTCATGTGACGATCTTTTTATTTATTCTCTGTATTTATATATTGTGTAACTCATAAATTAGATTCTTATTACTTTTACAATAATATTGAACATCTTTTTTCTGTCTCTCTTCAACTTAGAAATAGGAATCACTAATGCCATCTATTTCATTTGGTTAAAACAAAAACTATGACCAATTAACAAAGTGAGCACTTTTCATTTTTTAACTTGATGATACATCTTCTAAGACAATAATCATCAGTTAATTATACTGTTTTTTCTTCCCTTTTTTCGCTATTATTAATTTAATTTACCAATTTTCATAAATTTCCTATTCCAGGTAGCAGTGAACACTGTTCTTCAAAACGAGAAAGACTTCCTCAACCACATCATTAAATCTACCAATATGAAATGCCTCACAGCTCCGTAAGTTTCTAACTCTATATTTATACTAATTGCTGTGGGATTTACATACATTCCATATATATAATTGATTTATCTAAGGTAAAATGCTTCTTTTCATGCATATATTTTAATGCTAAAAATACATACATACATACATACATATACATATACATATATATGTATATGTATATGTATGTATGTATGTATGTATTTTTAGCATTAAAATATATGCATGAAAAGAAGCATTTTACCTTAGATAAATCAATATTAATATCATTTTTGATGTTATTCAAAGATTAGGGTTTTATATAAATAAATTTAAGAAAGATTTATTACACACCACTCACCTAAAATAGATATTTACATGGCTTACACCTAAACTTTGAACCTGCTTGACATCACTTTTATTTTATTATTTTTTATTTTTTCCTTTTATTTTTTGAAAATATATTTGATTAGTTTAATTTTAACATGCTTTTTATTTTTATTTTTAAAAGCAAATCAACTTATTTTAAAAATACTATAAATTTTTAAAAAGTGCTTTTAAAAATAACTATCACAACCAAATAAATTTAATTCAAACAAAAACAATCAAAATAAAAAAAAAATTAATAATAATTGAAAAGCAAAAAATAGAAAGGATCCTAAACATCATTCAATATTTTTATATATGCAGCATTATCTATGCATGAAAATATGCAGTGATATCTTATGTGATGTGAAAGATTTGGGTTGTATAATTTGTACACGAAAGTTTAGAGGTTAGATATGCAAATACATAGAAATTTAGTGGTATATATGTAAATTTAAATATATGTAAATCTCCCTTGTTAAAGTGATAAATTTTACGTTGAAATTCATCGCTTTAACTAAGTGAGATTTACATATCTAAACTTTAATGTATAGGGGGTATTTACATTCATACCACATAATTCTCATGCATTTACATGTCTTATACCAAAAGTTTAATATTTATAATTATAAGGCCTTGGTATTAAAAACATGCATGAAAAGTTGGTGAAAGTGGTATTTCCGATTCCGACATCTTGTAAAAAATTTGAATATTATGTACCTAAATATGAAAAACCTAGATGTTAGATCTGTAAATATGTAAGAATTATGTGGGATGTATGTAAGTGCCCCTATATTTTATTGGGGCATGTACATACATATCCTAACAATTCTAATATATTTTAATATCACACCTAAACTTTCATACTTACACACTCAACTCTCAGATCTTTAATATCACATAAAAAATAGTACCATTACCACATATTAAAAGTGAATTTTACCTTTTTCATGCATAGATTTATAAAGCACCAAAGTGTTACGTGTATATATATATATATATATATATATATAAAAGTATAGGTGGGAGATATATAAACAGAGAAGAATTGTGTGGTAGGGTATGTAAATTTGCATATTGTTTATTTATAATGGCTGCGTGAAAATGCAGTTCTGCCCTGGAGGGGGAGTGCGGTTTCCTTGCGGCCAATTTATACGCAAAGAGCGTATTTGGGGAAGACGCATTGGTGAATATAAGCATTGAGAAGCAGTCTGATGGTAAGCTGAGCGGTTATATCAGAATCAGAAGTAAAACTCAGGGGATTGCTCTCAGTCTTGGTGACAAGATAACTCTCAAGCAGAAGGGAGGCGGTTAGTTCTCTCTGTTAGTCCTTTTTTTTTGGGTTTTACATTAATATGCAATAAATTTTCCCCTCTTATTTTTTAAAATGTCTACTTTGCTTTAAATCCCTGATTATTTTCTCTTTGTTTATGATAGTTTTTTCTTAAAATCTCTTAAGACTGTAATTTGAATTTGAGGTCTATTTTGGTGGGTGATTAAGGCTTGATAGTTTTTTTTTTTCTTTTTAATTCTTTTTTTATTTTTTTATCGTTTGATCTTTACAAAGTATTTAAATCCCCATGCATTTATTTATGACATCATGACTCAACGTGTTGAAATTCACAATAGAATTTCAATTGATGTTCTCTTAGATTTAGCTAAATTGTCGAAGGTACTTATTTGTGGCCTCCACAGGTACATGAATTTGCTGTTTAAAATAAGTTGCATGGGTGTTAAATATTGTAAATATTTAAGTTTTGAATGTCATTTATATATTTTTTTTTTCTTGAAAATAAAATTTAAAAAGATAATTTTTTATATTTTTAAATACAATTTCAGATGAGCTTGATGTCTATGGTGCGTTCAATCTTTGCTATTGATATGCTGAATATTCTTATAAAGAAAAATGCTTTTGGAACATACTTATTATATCATATGGAAAGAATGTGCAAACTGTTCCTCCTAAAAATATGTGAGAACTATTATCTTTTTGTTAAATTGGCCTCTAATTTAATTCTTTTAAGATACCTCAAGCTTTCATATTGATTGACTAGACATTTTGGAAACAACATTGAAAAAAAAAAGAAAGGGTCGAATATTCAATCGGACGAACATCTGGTCCATCATTTAATAATTTTTAGCGCTCACGTTGAACTCGCGCAATTTTGTTAATTGTTGCTGCACATTTTCTACCTAATGAAGCATTTCAAAATAAGAACTATAATTATATAATTGAAAAACGCCCTCCTTATGCTACCATTCAATTCCTTGCAACAAGTTAAATTTATTTGTTTTCGAAATAGATAGTGCAAAACAATTTTTTTTTTAATACGCATGGCGTGAAGAGTGTAAAATTATATCTACTTATTTTTCAGAACGGGGCACGAACTTCCAGTTAGTTTTGTGATTGGATTTACATATAGGCTATAAAGAATTGTAAGTGTTTTAAGTACTTGGATAATTAAAAAAATTATTTCGTTTTGATAAATATATAAACACGTGCACTTATTCGGTGATTGACGATTTATTTTCCCACAATCAAGTTGGGTTCAAATCTCACATTGCATGATTGCACTTATTCACAACATAATAATGGTCCACGAAATGAAGTATTCACAAAAACACTTGCCTCCATTTTCATAAAACCTAGAGCAAAATTGAAAACGCAAGTCCAACAAAAACAGAAAATTAAGCTTGTATCCTTTTACTCATTAAGAAAAAAAATGTAAATAAACAAAATAAAGTATTCAACTTGTAAAAAAGCTTGCAGCCAAGCCAAACATAATCAACAATACTTTAAGAGGGTTAGTAGAAAACATGAAAATTAGTGGTGTGGAAATTAGAGCATAGTTCATCAAGCTCGACAAACTAAACATACATATATATCACCAAATGCTAAGCAGCTGGATCAAAATATAACATATCAGCACTTTTTTATAATTACAGGAACATAAGTTCCATATAGATCAGTCAAAATATTTTTTTACAAAAGTTCAATTCTGTTACCGATGAGATCCATCACCTGCGATGGCCAAAAAAATCCATTATCATCTTATGTAGCAACGATGAATAAAAATTACTATTTTAAATTTTCATTATTATTATGTTATATTGTTAATAAAAATGAAACATATTTGATGTATTATAACTGGTATATTATAACAGGATAAATCACCTTGACGTTCTCTGCTTGGTTTCTTAAGACAGCTTCGGCAATACTCCCCAAGAGGAGTTTTTGGAACTGGAATGAGCTTTCCAACAACAGCAAGCGGCCAACTGAGGGAGGAGCAAAATGCAAATTCAAGATGCAATAAATACTGTTAAGACAATAATTTTTACGAACTAAACTTTCATTTTTACATATATGCCAATCTTAGCTAGTGCATTTCACTTTCTAGAAGTTAAAAAATACTTTTAAAATTAGTGATACTTTTTCTGTGACAAGAAAAGATTCAGGTGCTGTAAGTGTAAAAATCAAAGTTTAGGTGTTAGATATGTAAATTCATGAGAATTGGACTTGCAATCTAAGGTTTAATATGCAATTTTGGACTGGCAGTCTAAGGTTTGACTTTTTTTATTTTTTAAAAACCTTGTGAGTAATATAACTACTTTACTAACAGATATGCGTGTCAAAAGTTTTTTCTCCCCATGGAATTTTTTTCAAAAACAAGAAGAAAATAATAACCAAGCAAATAAGTGACTGAATCGAAAAAAAAAAAAAACTAAACAGTGAAGAATATACCCAAACAAATCCCAATTTACATGAACGGTCGGTCATGAACATACCTCAAAAATGCAATTCCAATAGAAACCAGCCACAGCTGCCAGTCAAGTCTATCAGTTTTAAAGAATTTCCCCAGAAATTGAACGATCAAAATCTGCAGAAATAAAATATTTTATGCTACAGTTTACATTCCTAATATTGTTATACAAATTTGCATTCAATTTAAATCTGAAAACTACCTGAAGAATCAGAGTTATCCCTACTATTCCCATGAAAAGGCGGTTCTTTGTAACTCCCCTGAAGACATTCATCTCATCCGGTTTCCGAGCATTGAACTCGTTGAATATCTGAATATAACAAGAACATTTACACAATTTTAGAATGTCAGAAGTAGAACTCAAAGAGAGAAAAAGGAGCAATCTTTATTTTAAAGGAGCAGTATTTACCTGACAAAAAACGAAAGTATTAAAGATGAAGGTATTTTTCACTTTATCAGCGCGCACTCGCGTCTCATTGTTCAAATGAAGAATACTCTTTCCGCCAAAATTTAGGACTATGAGTATTGTCACTTGGTAAAGAGCCTATAGTTGCGCAGACAATCAGACGGACAATCAGATTATGGTAGTATCGATAAATCATGAAAAAAGGGGATTTACAAACTTACCACTAAATTCTTATGAATTTGCATATTTAACACCTAAATTTTTATATTATCTAAATATAATAACACTATCTACATCACTTCAAACAAGTTAATAGTAACGGTAATTTTTATGTCAATTAGAGATTATAGTGTCATACATGTAAATATAAAATTTTTTTATAGGTGTAAGATATGTAACTACATTAGCAATTCAATGGTATGTATGTAAATCTCCCGACGGAAAAATATATGCAAAGGATTACAAATGTAGGGCCACAATAACTTGAAATGTTAAATTAAGGTGATGTCATACCTGTACAATGAGGTTTCTCCACATGATATTGGTCACAAGGGGTTCCCTAAAAAAAAAAAGAGTAGGAAAACAATATAATCCATGAAAAACTTCAACAGCATCTCAAAATGAGAACGACAGAAGAACAGATAAACATGCAGTTTTTGACAATCAAATGTACGGGTGACAATGGATGTAGAAATTCCGTTATATAATAAAGCAGATTTTTTATTGGAAATGAAAAGTTACCTCCGACCAACTGGTTGTCTCATCATAAGCTGATCTGTTGGGGGCTCAGTGGCTAATGCAAGTGCACCAAGAGTGTCCATGATTAGGTTAACCCACAAAAGCTAATTATAAAAAAATAAAACATATTAGAAACTATTTAGTATGGAATTGTTCTCAGTAAACAAAAGCAACATAAATGAACAATTGGCATTGAATTTATTCAGATATGCAAAACATT